ATGAATTGGACTTCATAAAAATTAAAATCCTCTACTCTTAATAAAGCTCAGTGAAGAGAATGAAAAGATAAGGCAGCAGACTAAGAGAAATTATTTGCACACATATATTTAATAAAGGATTCCTATCTAGAGTGTTCGAAGAACACTCAACTCTCAATAGAAAAGCATATATCCTAAATAAAAATGGGAAAAAGATTTGAACAGACACTTCACCAAAAAAGATATGTAATTGGCATAGAAACATATGAAAAAATCCTTAACATAATTAATGCTTAGGGCGATGTTAATAAAGTTTCAATGAGCTACTGCTACATATCTAATAGAATGGATAAAACGGAAAAGACTGACCATAGCAAATGTTAGCAGAATGTGAAGGAAGTGGAACTCTCATATTCCTGCTGATAGGAATGGAAAATATTACAACCACTTTGGAAAACTGGCAGATTCTTACAAAGTTAAAACATACCTACTATATAACCTAGACATTCTGCTCCTAGCTACTCACCCGAGAGAAAAGAAAGCGCATATCTATACAAAGACCTGTAAGTGAATGTTCATAGGAGGCTTATTTGTAATAACCAAATACTGGAAACAACCCAAATGTCCATCAGCTTATGAGGGGATAAACAAATTATGGTGTATTCATATAATGGAATACTACTCAGTAATAAAACAGAATAAACAGTTGTTACACATTGATTCATCTCAAAATAATTATGCGGAGTGAAAGAAGCCAGATAAAAAATATTACATACTATATGATTTCATTTATATAAAATTCTTAAAAAGTGCAAACTAACCTATAGTAATAGAGCATAGATCAGTAGCTGCCTGGGGACATGGTAGGGGACTTGGAGGGATGAGACAGAGCAGGGAGTGATGTGTTGGTCAAATGTCTTTTCCTTGAAAGCCCAGCCCTCTGGTATTCCATCCCTGTTGCCTCTGCTCCAATTCAGAGATGTCAAGGCTGGATTTCAGTGGACCAGGTTTGAAGAATTGTTCTATCTCAAATGTTAATAGTATCTCCACTGAGAAACACTACTTTGGAGTCTCAGCTGAAACATCTGTTTTAATGTCACATTGCAGTCATATATAAACAATTAGAAATAAATGCAGACTATATACTTTAAAAAAAATTTGAAAGACAAATCTGTTCTCAGAGAATTAGTATGGGATGTGACGCAAGTGTGAATCAAGTGTGTTTGAAGGCTTTATTCATATCTAGTTTCTTCTCTACTTCCATATGTTATTTTGGAGGAACAGCTGGAATGTCTAAAAATAACAAAATTAAATAAATTCAAATTTAATTAAAATTATAAATTAGTCAAAGCCTTTTATTACAATACTTGGTGATAGTTACACAATGGTAATGCCTTGTGATTAGAACCTACTAGTCCCACAATACATATGAGCTATCTAGTTAGGACATCTACTTTTTTGTTCCTTAAATATCAGATGAGCAGAATTCAAGAACAATATTTCTATGGTACTTGGACCCCAAAGGGTGGGCCAGAATCATAAGTGACTCTTTACTTTCATTTAGTTACTTTCCTGCCGTAAATCACCCTCCCCATGACACGCCTGCCCAGGGCCACCAAAACATTGTTGGGAACTAGGGGTAAGTAGCAAAACTTACCTGGTTTAAAATCTAACTTTCCTCTCTCCATTCTCTGATAACGAGTAGTGAAATGATGGAAGGGGAGGGAAAATATGATTTTT